CAAGGACTCTTAGGTGAACATCCTCACCTGACCCTTGTGACAGTAAAACCGCTCAATCCTGCCACGTACCTGCCCACCAAGCTGGGCCCTCCAGACCGTGACTGCCTGGCACTAACCAATGAGCTGTTCTCAAGCTGACAAGACTTACAGATGGACCGCCTGACAGATGCAGAGTACACCCTGTTTATGGATGGAAGTAGCCCTGTTAGGGATGGAGTCCAACAGGCTGGATATGCTGTGGTCTCCCTGGACCAAGTTATTCTGGTTGAAGCTCTCCCACAAGGATGGTCTGCAGAGCACGCTGAACTATGGGCTGTCATACAGGCCCTCAATTGGTCTGAAAACAAAAAGGCCAACATCTACATGGACTCTAGATATGCCTTTGACACAGTTCTTGTATGTGGAATGATATATCCTGTATTATTACAGAGTGTTCCCTAGTGCCTGTGAGGGCATTTTCATAAATAAAACATGTTAATATTCTGGACTATATAATAAGCTTTTTGTCATACAATTTTATGATGGAATACAATCCTCTGATACTTACTTTGCTGTGATGGTACCATTTAAATTCTTAGAATTCAAAGAACAGTATAAAGGTGTCTGTAGAACAACTTCAAATTTTGGTAACACTGAAAGAGAAAAATCAACCTTTTACTATCAACTTCAGCTCACTAAAATAAAAGAGTAGAGTCCCTCTGAAAGAGTTGATAAGGGGTCATACTTAAATTTAGATTCACCAGGATCAAAAAACATGTTAGTTAACACAGATGAAAAGCCCCATATTTTATTCAAAATCATAAATCCATACTTAAATCAGCTTTATGCAATTAAGTGTGAAATGTTTTATAATTAATACTGCTTGATACAGAGCACTGTGCCAGCATTAAAAAAAAATTTTAGCCTGGTCTATAGGAAAATTTTTCTATAACCTCACTGACCAAAGAAAGTCAGGCACTGCACTCCTCAATTAACGTAAGACAAATATCACCAAGGCCCGGGAGCCTACAGCCAAGGAAATCAGATGCCTGGACATGACAGAATGGCAATCAGCCCTCAGACTGTGCCCCAACAGTGACGTATGCCCGCCCAGCACCACAGTGTGACATGAAAACAGCCTACAAAAAGCTGGACTCCCAGGACACATTCTTCCGGGTCAGCACCATCCCAAAGAAATGTAAATGTGTAACTTTTCATTGGGTCACATTTACAAAGTAAAAAGAAATGGGTGAAGGCAATTTTTGCAATATCTTAACCCCCTGTATCTGGAATCTAATCTCCATGTAATCTAAATAAGTGAACTATTAATGGACTATGTGTCTTTCGCCTTCTTGCGCTAAGTCTCTGGGGACTGGAGTGAGCTGCACACCTATAGCACCTCTCCCGGGACCAGCCGCATGTCCAACACTGAGCAGCCACGTGGGGCAAGGAATCAAGCACAGGCCAGACCAGGAAGCAGCAAGCTAGAGCCAGCATGAAATAACAAGGGCTGTCACTATTTTTAATTGGTTTTTAAAAAAAAAAAGCAGGGCTGGGGATTTAGCTCAGTGGCAAAAGCGCCTGCCTGGCAAGTGCAAGGTCCTGAGTTCGATTCCTGGTGCCAGAAGAAAGAAAAAAAAGGAAAAGTACTGTAAAAGTTATATGAAATTCAAATGTCTATGTCCATAAAACAAACTTTGCTTTTTTTTTTTTTTCAGTACTGGGAATCAAACTCAGGACGTTGCACTTGCCAGGCAGGTGATGGGCTGCTGAGCTAGATACCAGCCCAAATTTTGCTACTGCAACCCAGGGACATTCACTTACATATCATCTATGGCTGCTGTCATTTACAAACTTGAGGATCACGACAGAGATGAGGCCCACAGAGCCTCAGGTAATACCACCCGGCTGCCTTCGGGAAATACTTTCCTGACTAGGGGACGCGAATGAGAAGATACCACGTGAGCTGTGGGGGCCCGAGCCACAAAGGTGTCAGCAAACTACTTTCCACATTTCTACTGCCTGAAGGAAAAGAGGTACCGATCAAATAAAAAGGCTTGTATGTAAACCCAAAATAGCTATGTACACTCTAAGCTAATACTGAGATTCTACCCCTCTCCTTCCTGTATCCAGCAACAAAATAGCTGGACCCATGCTTTTATCTGTGTGTTTTCTAATGCGATCTTCCAAGTGCAGCCTCCATCAACACTATCCTTTACCAGTGGTAACCAAGTACTGTGGGGCTGGGTTAGCTCAGCGGCACAGCACCTGCCTGGCAAGCACAAAGTCGTGAGTTTGATTCCCGGTACCAAAAAAAAAAAAAAAAAAAAAAAAAAAAACAAGTACTGTAAAATTATGGTAAGTAACGGCCACTAAGTTTGGGGATTTTCCCTTCCTTTTTTCTCTCTTTTCACCATCATTGCTAATTTCCTATCACCTTGTTTGAAATTCTGTATCGTTTATACTGTTTTTGTGTTGTTTGGTTTACATCTTCCTGTTGGTTAATTTGTTTTTGTTCTTTTCCCTTTAAAATAAAACATAGTAATTTTTTTTTTAAACATGTGGGGGTTTTGTTTTGTTCTGTTTTGTTTATGGTGCTCTTTCATCCTGCTGCGTCCCAGCCCTGATGTCAAGTGTTTAGATAGGCAAAATTTGAAATACTCAGTCATCGCAACAAAATACGAAAACAGAAAAACTGCGTAAGAAAAAACCGAGCCGGGTGTGGTGGTGCACGCCTGTAATCCCAGGACTCAGGAGGCTGAGGCAGGAGGATCACTGTGAGTTCGAGACCTGGGTTACAAAGTGAGCTCAAGGCCAGCCTGAACTGCATAACGAGACCCTGTCTCAAAAAGACCTAAAAAAACAAAACTAGCATAATGAGATCCCAGGTAATATTTTTCCTATGTTTTTCTTTAGAAAGAAAAAATAATTTAATAATAAAATCTTATCATACATTTTAGACAATTTACAAAGGAAAATGTATATTTAGACCTACAAGAAACACCAGAATTTTATTTCCATTGGGATTTTTGCTTTAACACGTATCTTCAAAATTTATCTTATCTCAGTAAAAAGTAATAAATTTTTCTCTCAAAATAAATTGAAGGAGCCTGGCATAGGAGTGCACACCTGTAATCCCAGCACTCCGGAGGCTGAGGCAGGAGGATTATTACAAGTTCAAGGCCAGAGTGAACTGGGCTACAAAGTGAGTTCAAGACCAGCCTGAATTGCATATTGAGACCCTGTCTCAAAAACACGAAAAAATAAAAGTAAAATAAATCAAAATAAACTGAAGAACTCTTACCGTATTCTGAGACCTGAAATGATTCATAATATGTCTGGCCCTATTGGAAGAAAGAAGAAAAAACAAGAAAATGTGTGAGTTCTTATCTAATTATTCTGCACATTTACCTGCATCAAAAAAGTTCAGACAATTTTAAATTATTTTTATAATGATTTAATGAACAAATCAGATTACTTTACTTGGGGAAGTTTATTTTTATTCAACCGCAATCTTATGCTTGTGAGATTTCAGAGGTTTTCTTCTCAACTTCCTTACATAAAAAAGTGATCTGTCAGCCAGGCATGGTGACACATGCCTGTAATCCCAGCACTCGGGAGGCTGAGGCAGGGGATCTTTGCAAGTTCGAGGCCAGCCTGAACTGCATGGTGAGACCCTGTCTCAAAAAAACAAAACAAAACAAAAAAAAGTGACCTGTCATTTCAGCAGCCTATTTAATTCAACCTCTATTATTTACAAAGAAAGAATTAGATTAAGTTAAATAATTCACAAATTTATGAGGCAAAGATAACACAAACCAAACTCACAGAAAATTACTTCAAGTTTATTTTGGTTGGGGCCAGGGATATAGCTTAGTGGCATAAGTGCCTGCCTGGCAAGCACAAGGTCTTGAGTTCAATTCCCGGTACCAAAAAAAAAAAAAACAATGAATTGTTTTGGTTGTCACTATCCAAAAGGCAAAGGACAAAATGCAGTTACAGAGCACTCAAATTCTTATAAATATCAGGTATATATAAAAAAATCATGATTGACCAATGTCCTCCATCTTTCTAACTCTTTAAACTATTTTCTAGTGTAACCCCTCAATTAATAAACACAGTTATTTCCTTTTCCAAGATCAAAAAACTGTGGCCTATTTTATATCATTTCCATAACCCATGTTTGTAACTGTCCATTTTAGATTGTAAGTAACACAAACAGAACCTTCTCAAAATGCTGCATAATTTCACTAATGAAATTTGTATTCTGATTCCCTAAATTTATCAAAGCACACACACAGATTTAACTAGAAAATATAGCTCTTCTTTTAAAAATTACTTTAAAGCTAAAACATCTGGACAGTAGGAAGTTATTTTTTTAATCTTAAAGGAAGAATATAGTTTATTTTAAACTATAAAACAAATTTAACTACTTATGTGATAACAAAATAGTTGTCTAAAACCTGGTTTCAATATTATCATTTAAAGGAAATAACTGTGCTCCTCCCTTTTTGCTCTTGCTGCTTTTGCTATTTTCTGCCACCAAGGACCGTTGCCCTCTGCCATGTGCCACCCTGCCTTGAGGCCAGCCGAGTATGGACTGAAACCTCCACGGACTGCGAGCTAAATAAACCTTTCCTTCCTTAAAAAAAATAAGCAAAATAAAATAAAACATAAGGAAAGTGAATTGTGCTGTTTTGATCAAGGTCTTTAGACTGTATGTATCATAAATAATTTCTTAAATTATTTTCATGTCATAGGTAAGATTCTTCTAAGTTATGTGGATATGATTCATTCCTAAATTCTAGCTGATCATCTTCAAAATCAAACCACGTCAGTAATCTACCTGTCTTACTCATTTCACTGGAAATGAATTCTGGTCTTTAATTTAGCTTGTTTTGGGCTGGGGAGATAGCTCAGCAGCACAAGCGCCTGCCTGGCAAGCGCAAGGTCCTGAGTTCGATTCCCGGTACCCAAAAAATAATAATGATAATTTAACTTGCTTTATCACTGAGGCCAGCACGGCTAAAAGGCAGGGGATAAGTAACTTAATAACGACGATGCCTCTGATGAGCTGAACTCACACAGCGAACAATCGGCCAGTTCAGGCCAACACCATAGGAGGCTCCATAAAGGCCAGTGACCCGTCATCAGCATCAGGGCGCTCGGGGAGGAGACAGGCCCAGTCACCCACCACACGGACGCATCCCACAGCCGCAGGGGAGCAGGCTTCCCCTCCTACGTCTGTGCACACGGACTCACAGTGAGGCCCTTCTCGTACTGTGTCCCGGCTGTAAAGCAAAGCACAGCGAGACAAAGCTGACCGTGCCCTGGGGTTCCAGGCACTGTTACCTGTGCTCTTTTTTCCGGTCTGACTCACACACACTTGCACCTCCCCCGTCTCCCAAGGCCTCACTTCCCTGCTGCCTCCCTGGATCCCCAGACTAAGAGCAACTTCTCTGCCCCCTCAGCCCCTATGCAAGTCGGTCCTTCCTCGGCTTCCCGTCACCTTCTACCCCGTGTCCTTGGTGTTCAGATATACAGCTCATCTTGCTGCAAGTTCTTTGCAATCCAGGTCCACAATGGATTATTTCTGTATCTCTCAGGGCACCAACCTACCCCAGTGCCTGGTACAAACAAGCTTTCAATACATATGCATTAGACTCAACAAAAATTACCAGTTTTCACAGATGAGGGAAAACAGCTCATTTATTTGGGTTTACTTCAAGCCAATGCCTTGAAACCAAGTTACAGGCAATTATTTAACACGTAAGTAGCTAAATAAAGTATAACCAAAATGAATTCTGTCTCCTCTCTGCCTCCTACATTGCCAGTCACGCTTGATGTCTCCTGGGTTCGTTCATTCTCTCCTTCTCATTCATACTCTCCCCCTCCCCTCCCCCTCCC